ATCATGGCTTCTAGGTAGCTGGTTCCATGTTTTAGGGCAGGAATAACTAAGATAGGTATGAATTATTTTGTAATTCTAGAAAGCAAAGAAAAGTTAAGAAAAAATGGGTAGGTCATATGTTTTCAGACAAGGTGGAATAATAAGGATTCTGTCATGGACTGAATTATGTCCTCCCATAATGTTGTTGTTGGTGGTAAGCACCATGGCATTGGTTCTGACTCATAGTGACACTGTACAGGGTTTCTGAGGCTGTAAATCTTTACAGGAGCAGAACGCCTCATCTTTCTCCCACGGAACAGCTGGTAGTTTCGAACTGCTGACCTTGAGGTTCGCAGCCTGACTTGTAACCACTATGCTACCAGAGCTCCTTGTCTCCCCATAACATGTACATGTAAATATGACTGTATAAAGCTTTTTATTTGTTGTGCTAAAGAGGTCATACTAGTGTAGAGTGGGTCCAAAACCTAATTATTCTGAGTTATAAAGAGAACATGCTGTTGTTAATTGCCATCAAGTTGGTTCCTACTCATAGCGACCCTGTATAGGCTTTCCTAGGAGTGGCTGGTGAGTTTGAACCACCAATCTTGCAGTTCAAACCAAGCTTGTGGTCCAGTGTTTATCCTACAGTGCCACACCAGGACTTCATAGTAGATACAAAATTACATAGGACATAACAGATACAAAATATGCAGGGGGAATATATCATATAAAGGCAGACACACATGGAAAATGCATCTATAAACCCATTAACTGCAAGAATTTCTGGCTACTAGAAGCTGAAATAGACAGAAAAGGACCTCCTTCTAGAATCACACCTTGAATTTCAACTTCTAGCTTCCTGAATCGTGAGAAAATGTACTTCTAATCTACCTTCTCTAAGCTCCCCACTTGTGGTATTTCTATTATGGTAGCACTAGGTAACAAAGGAGCACTGGTAGCATAGTGGTTATGAATCAGGCTGCAAACCTTAAGGTCAGCAGCTCGAAACTACCAGCCGCTCCGCGGGAGAAAGATGAGGCTCTCTGCTCCCATAAAGATTTACAGCCTCGGAAACCCTGTACAGGGTCGCTATGGGTCGGAATCGACTTGACGGCACTCAACAACAACAACAACAGGTAATAAAGATGGACTAAATATACTCTACTACCTGAAACAACCAAGGAGCTCTGGTAGAATAGTGGTTGCGAATTGGGCTGCTAATCTCATGGTTGGCAGTTCGAAACTACCAGCTGTTCCGTGGGAGAAAGGTGAAGCTTTCTGCTCCCGTAAAGATTTACAGCCTCAGAAACCCTGTACAGGGTCACTATGAGTCGGAACTTACTCCGGTACTTAACAACAACAACAACAACCTGAAACAACCAAAATTGTCAGACAAATAAATACCACAAGACTTTTCAGGACACTTGTTATCTGCTAAAGCCCCTGAGTGACACAAACAGTTTGTACTTGACTACTAACCTACAGACTGAGGATTCTAACCTGGCAGTACTGTGGAAGAAAGCCCTGCAATCTGCTTCTGTTAAGATTACAGCCAACCAAGATTATGAGCAGCTCTATCCTCTAACACATGGGCGACATGAGTCAGAAGTATCTCAATGGCAACAAAGGACAATGATTCCTCAAAGATGGGAAGTAAATGAAGTGAGTCCTACAATAACCCAAGCTTACTATCTTCAGAGAATTTTGACACAATGGACAGGGAGAGGGGAAGCCCAGTGAAGGACTCTCTGAGTTAAGGAAATGGAGTTAGGAGCCCAAGGAGGCTCGGATTTCCAGGACACTATAATCAGTTATAGATGTGAACTATGTTGTAGTTGTTGTGAAGTGCCATCAAGTTGGTTCCAACCCAAAGCAATCCTGGATAGGGTTTCCGAGGAGCAACTTGTGAGCTTGAACCACTGGCCTTGTGGTTCACACCACCTTATAGAGTCCAGCACATTAACCCACAGCTGCCATACCAGAACTCCTATACACCCAAACTATGCACCTAAACTATACACCCAATGTATAGCAAGAAAGAAAAGCAAGAAAACAAAGAGTTGCAGGTACTATAAAAGAGAGAAAATGGAATAATAAAAGATATACAATTAATCTAAAAGAAGGCCCAAAAAGAATAAAGAACAGATAGGACAAATAGAAATTAAATAGAAAGATTATATATTTTAAATTAATCATATCAGTGATCACACTAAATGTAAATGGTCTTAGCACGCCAACAAAATTGATCTGATTCAATAGCAAGGCCCAACTCTATACTACTAGAAAAAAACACAATTTAAACATAAATTCAAGGAAAGGTCAAAACTAAAATGATAGAAAAAGAAATGGCATGCTTGAAAACTAGCTCAAAACAATCAGTAAAGCTCAGCAAGAATACAAAAAATTTGAACAATATCGTATAACTTAAGCTAATTAACATTTTATTAAATGTTCCATTCAAAAGGAGCAGATACAAATTCCTTTCAAGTGCACATGAAAACTCTACCAAGAAAGATCATATTCTGGGCCACCAAACAAGTCTCAATGAATTTTAAAAAGATTTAATTTATAGAAATTTGTTTTCTAGCTGTAATGAAATTGTATTAGAAATCAATAATGGAAAGAGCCCTGGAAATTTTCCAAATCATCAGAAACTGATTATCATACTTTGAGCCATTGTGTGGGAGAAAGATGAGGCTTTCTGCTTCCCCCAAAATTTACTGCCTCGGAAACCCTAAAAAGGTCACTATGAGTTGACTCTACGGCAATTAATAACAATAACACAAGTAACACATGATTCAAAGGCTAAATTAAAGGACAAAATTAGAAGGTAATTTGTATTAAATGAAAATGGAAACAGAACATTATTAAGAAGTTCTGGTGTGGCACTATAGGATAAGCACTGTACTGCTAATCACAGGATCAGTTCAACTCCAATTCTGACTCATAGCGACCCTGTATAACATTTCCAAGGAGCGGCAGGTCGGTTTGAACTGCCAACCTTGTAGTTCAAAGTTCAGTGCTGATCCCAAGGTACCACCCCAGGAGTCCAATTAAAGGAGTAGTTAGGAGGAAATTTATTATGCTAAATGACTACAAGAAAAGGAAGAAGGAGTCAAATCATTGACCATAGAATCCATGTCCAAAATTTAGAAAAAGATAAGTAATTTAAATCCAAAAAATTAACAGAATAAAAGGAGCTCTGGTAGCGTAGTGGTTAGGAATTGGGTTGCTAACCTCAAGGATGGCAGTTTGAAACTACCAGTTGTTCCATGGAAGAAAGATGAGGCTTTCTGCTCCTGTACGAAAGATTTACAGCCTCGGAAACCCTGTACAGGGTCACTCTGAGTCAGCACCGACCTCACAGTACTTAACAACAACAACAATGATAAGAGAAAATTAGTGAAATGGAACATAGAAAAAAAGAAATTCAATGAAACCAAAAGCTGGTTGTTTGGTAACGTTAGGAAAATTACTACATCTTATGAAGCTGATCAGGAAAAAGTTAGAAGACAAAAATGGTTATTATTAAGAATATTAGAAGTGACATCTCCAAAAACTTTACAGCTACTAAAAGGAGAACAAGGGAATATTCACAACTTTATGAAAATAAATTCAACAACTTAGATAAAATGGACAAATTATTTGAAAGATACTAACTACCAAAGCTCACTCAATAAACATTAACCTGAATAGCCCTGTATTTGTTTTTTAAAGAATTGAATTTGTACTTAAAATCCTTTCCACTGAAGTAAACTCAAAATCAGATGACTTCACTGATTAATTCTTTAAACATTGAAAGAAAAAATAATGCCAATTCTACACACTTTTCTAAAAAATAATAGAAGAAAAAGGACTACTTCTCAATTGAATCTGTGTGGTTGGTGGGACAGTGGGTTAAGCGTTGGACTGCTAACTGCAAGTTCTATTGTTCCAACCCACTCTGTTGGAGAAAGATATAGTTGTCTTCATAAGGATTTACAATCTCAGAAACCCTAAAGAGCAGTTTTACTGTGTTCTGTAAGGTAGCTGGAGTCCTGGTGTTGCACTGTAAGATAAGCATCTCCAGATCCACAGTTCAAAACCACCAACCACTCCTCGGACATCTTGTACAGGGTCGTTATGAGTCTAAATTGACTCGACAGCATTTAACAACAACATAGGGTCACTATGAGTCATAATCAACTAGGTGACAATGGGTTGTTGTTGTTGTTGTTTTGGTTGGTATCACCCTGATGCAAAAAAGTTCATGGAAAATTTTCATTGTCTTTTAATTTCATCCTCCCACAATCTTTTTGAAGCCCCCTCATATAATTAGAGATTTTGTTATTGTTAAGTGCCATTGAGTCAGTTCCAACCCATAGTGACCCTGTATAGGGTTTCCAAGGAGCATCTGGTGAGCTTGAACCATTGACCTTGCAGTTCAAACTAAATTTGCAGTCCAATGCATTAACCCACAGTGCCATGACTCCAGCAAACATTCCTCCTAAAAATTGTAAGGAAATTCACAATAGAAGGGAATTCTTGATAAGGGACATCTTCAAAAACCAAAGCAAGTAAAAAAAAAAAACACCCTACTGTTAACATTATACTTAATGGTAACAAAATTTATGATTTCTCTCTAATATAAGAATGTTCATTCTTATCACTTTTATTAAGTATTGTATTCTAGATTCTAGTCAGTGCAGTAAAGGAAAAAAATCATGAGAAAATTGAAGCATAAAAGTTTGCTCTGGATGCCACCTGGCACAGTAGACAAATCACTGAATTTGAATCTTGGAATGTCTAGCTGCAAAACCAGTGCTCTTAAACTGACAGTTCCAAACATTAGCTGCAGCACATCTGGTGTGTTCAACCAAAAGGGTTAATGAGACTTCCTGCATCTCATCCACATGAAATGACCCAGCTAATGTTTGTTTCATACCCACTGTGTGTTTCAAGGAGTCTTTCTCTCAATGTTACTCCTGTGGATTCCATTTCTCCTTGGTAGGTGAAGATTAATCAGGAGAGGAAAACCAGAAATGGCCACCACTACAAAGCTGAGCGCCACAACAGGAGAGAGTATACACTCCCAAGACATGCAATTGGATGAAAAGCTCATTTCCAGTAAAGGTAAAGTTGACCATGGCTGCTTAGATTTAGGACTTCACGTGCAATGTTTTAATACAAAGATAGTAATCTATATGTTTTAAGCTATTTAATTCTTAAAAAATAAAGTGACATTAATAAAAGTTTACAAATAAAGGAAATGAACACTACTGTTTTTAAAGTCTTTTATTTTTTGCTATTTATGTTCTAATTTTTGTCCATATGCATTTACATTCTTGATAATTGCTAATGAATTGTCTCCATGTAGCATTGTGTATTTGTTGCCATTAGGGGCCATCGGGTCAGTACCAACTCATAGCAATCCTGTATAGGGTTTCTGATACTGTAAAGCTTTACACGAGAAGAAAGTCTCATCTTTCTCCTATGGAGAGACTTGTGGATTTGAACTTCAGACCTTATGATTAGTAGTCCGGTGCTTATCCTACAGCACTACCTGCTTGTTATTACATGTAATGTTGTAAACATAAGTCTACTGCTTAATTAACTAATCTAAAAACAACTAATAACAGAAGCTTTAAAAGTCAGGAAATGTAAAATTTCCATAATACACCAGCATATCCAACTACTATCATTTGTTTTATTAATTTCCTTTCATTTCCCTATGCATATTTTATAAACTTCTGGAATCCTGGTGTGGCAATGTAGGATGAGCACTGGTCTGCTAACCACAGTTCAGCAGTTAAAACCCACTAGCTGCTCTTCAGAAACCTTATGCAGGGTTGTTATGAGTTGGAACTGCCTTGATAGCACTTAACAACCAACAATACTGTCTATGTTATATATTTTTAACTTGGTCACACATGTTTTTTCATATTGTTCTATACATGGATTATTATTACAGCATATGGAATACCTGAAAAATCTTCTATGGCTAGATATCTATGTTGTGAGTCTCTCTCTCTCTCTATTTTTTTCCTTCAAACCAAACTTCTCACATATTTATTTATCTGTCAGTCTCTTAAAGCAGAAGCATAAAAACAAAGAAAGCAACCAGAAGTTTTCCAATATGTGTTCAATTGATCACATCATGGCAACATTTTTACTTGATATGGTAGAACACTAGTGACCTAGGTACATTATGTGTGTCATCACATAGGTGACTCCATTATCTCCAGCTTTGCTCTTCTCCAATGTTTTCTCATGGAATAGGACCTGCTTTTCTCAATAGTTTTCATGGAATCCATTGGGGAAGGGGATGATCCTGCTTTTGTTTCTTGACCAGGAACCTGTTCATCCTGAGTCTTATGATAAAACATAATGAGCCTTGCTTATTATAAATAAAATAAAATCAGAGAAAATTCTTTAACATAATACTTGCCCACATTTGGAATGATTTCCTTAGGGTTTATACCCAAGAAGCTAAATTTGTGAGGTAAATGGTATAAATATTCTATTTTTATTGGCCACTAGAAAAATCTTAGTTTTTAATCTGAACAAAAATGGAGCCATTTGGAGGATTTTGAGCAAATCGGGTATGATCTGAGTTATGGTATAATCAGAGTACTTCAAGTCTTTTACTGGGAAGGTTGGAAGCAGGACCTTAAGATGAAGGCTGTTACAAAACTCCAGACAAGACACCTTGGTAGTTAGATCCACGTGGAAGGGGCCTATGCCAGTTATAGCAGTTCCCCTGACTTGGATTCCATATTGGCTTTGAGTGTAAAGACAGCAGTCTTCTTTGTATAAACTGGGTAGAGAGTGTGAAAGATAGAAAGAAAATAATAATCCCAAAATGTTTAGAAGGATAGAATTTCTATCAACTGAGTTGAAGACTCTGAGGGGAGTAAATTTGGGGAGAGCGCAGGAACTTAATTTTAGATTTGCTATTAATTTTTATTACTATTACTTAATCAATTAATTTTTAGTGGAACAAAAATAAATAAATAAATAAATAAACCATAGCTTCCTAACTTCACTTTCCCCTTATCATTCTGTTCTCAATTCAGCAGCCAAAAAGATCCTTTCATAATGGAAGTCACACCATGTCCCTCCTCTATTCAAATCCCTCAGGTAACCCCCATCCCACTCAAAGTTAAAGTCTATACAATAGACTATGTGGCCATAAAGCTTTCAGGTTCTATGATCTCTCTTTCCGCCTATCAGTCGTTGTATCTCTGAGTCACTCTACTCTGGCCTACTCACTTCCTTTTGGTTCTTAGACCCCATCAGGCACTCTTTACCCACCTTCAGGGCTTTCTCATAGGCTATTCCCTCTACTCTTTCTACAGACAACTACACAACTGGTTCTGGCACCTCATTAAGAATTTGCCTTTCCTGAAAATATAACTAGCATTGTTATATTTCCAGTTAAAAGCCTATGTTCTGTTCGCTATGGAATAGCCTACGTTGTTCATCTTTGCAACTTCATACTGATGGCACAATACACCATCATGAACATCACAATGGTAGCCATGGTCAACAGCACAGAACCTCAGCCTCAGTTCAACATCTCCACGGAAGGGCTGCCTGTGAACTCATTGGGTGACCCAAATAAAGCCCCAAAGAGTCTTCCTGCAGGGGTAAGCAATGCAAGATTCAAGTTCATTGTTTATTTTTCCAATGTTTATACATTAAAAGATTTTGATTGAGAAAATAATGATATCAAAGCAAGTGATAGATCTAAATTACCTTCTTACAGCCTGAAAGAATTTTGTAAGTAGTTCGCTACAGCTTTCTCTGTTTCTTTAAGGTTCCTGTGTATAATTGGAGCCCTCAAGCCCAGGGCCTCATCTTTGGTTCTCTCAACTATGGCATAATACTGACTTCGGCTCCCAGTGGATACTTGGCTGGAAGAGTAGGAATAAAGAAAGTGGTTGGTGTTGGTTTGTTTGGATCTTCGCTTATCATTCTCTGTATTCCTCTGGCAGCTGACCTTGGAGTAGTTTTTCTCGTCATAATTCGAACAGTCCAGGGCCTGTGCCAGGTACCCAGACATTTTATAAATCTCAGCTGGATACAAATTTCTTCATGGTAACACAGATCAAGAACTGTAACTATTTTTCATTTTAGGGATCAATAGTTGGGGGTCAGTTTGCACTTTGGGAAAAATGGAGTCCTCCACAAGAACGAAGCAGACTCTTCACAATAGCTTTATCAGGTAAAAATGTAAGCAAAATGGGTTAGTAAACAAAATTCTGGTACTGCAACCCAGCATTTCCCACTGCATTCTCTGACAATTTTTTTCTATTGCATGGTTAATGTTCTTCTGCGTAATGCTGAGGAAGTATTTCTAAATTAAGAAGATTGGTCTTTTGTCTGTGTCATGGTTTTCAGTTATTTTCCCTGGGTTGTCATTCATGATATGACTGCTTATAAAGATTTTTGACATTAATGGGGAGGGGGAGCAGCAGTTGGTAAAAAAACATATATTTATGTACTCAAGTTGATCTGGGAGTACGGTGACTCCATATCATGAGCATTGGACTGCAAACCACAAGGTCCTTGGTTCAAGGCCACCAACCACTTCAGGGGAGAAAGATGAGGCTTTTTGCTCCCAGGAAGAGGTAAAAGCCTCAGAAACCCTATATAGGGTTGTTGTGAGTTGGAACTGACTCCATGGCACTTAACAACAGCAATCAAATTGATTATTCCTTTATGGCCTCTTGGTTTTGAGTCATAGATGGAAAGTTGTAAGAACATTCACCCATATTTATTCTTGTATGTAAATAGCTTTGTTTTTAATATCTAAATTTCTGACATATTGGAGTTTCTACTGGTATTTGATAAGAGGTATGGATTCAACTTAATCTTCTTTGGAATGGAACTCAGTTGTCCTGAGAACTGTTTTCTGATAACGATCTGCCTACACAGGCTCCTAGAATAAGGATTCTGGAAGCCTAGCTGCATTGGGAGAAAGGGAGACATGGAAAGAGTATGGATAATAAGCAGGATAGTGTCAGAGTGAGTGCTGGGTAAGAAAAGAAGGCTAGTTTGAGGGTAAAGAACTCTTCAAGCCCAGAAAACAAACTATATACACACTCTTCCAGACTCCATGCCCCTTTAAAGTTCTTCACAACACTGGGTGATTAATTTCTGCAACCAGAGCTTGTATTCACTGATAGGGAAATGGAGGTCCAGTTTGGACTAAGGAAATCCACTTTAGTTACCACACCTGACCAAAAGAAGTCCCCAAATATAAATAAGGACTGTTATTGTTGCTGCTGGCTGCTCTCGAATAGACCCTGATTCATGGCAATCTCATATGCTACAGAGTAGAACTGCTCCATAGAGTTTTCTCAGCCGTGATCTCTATGGAAGCAGTTTGCCAGGCTTATCTTGCCTGAAGCCAGTAAGTAGGTGGGTTTGAACTGCCAACTTTTCAGTTAGCAACTGAGCATTTAATTGCTTGTGGCACCTGGCTCCTTATAAATAAGGGTACTGTTATTGTTGTTACATACCATCGAGTCAGTTTTGATTAATAGTGTCCCCATGTGACAGAGTTGAACTGTCCCATAGGGTGTTCTGGGCTTTCTCTTTATGAAATAGGTCATCAGATCTTCCTCATGCAGAGAGGCTGGTGATGCAACGTTTCAGTCAGCAGTGAGGTGCTTAACACAATTCCTAAGGGATAGGCTTTCCCAAGCCTTCAAATCTTTGAGGGAAACCAAGAATATGAAAGAGAAACCTCAAACTCAAAAGCTACAAACATATTAATAAAGGAGTTAGGAGAAAACATCAAATAATTCAACAGATAACATCAGGGAGATCCCAGGCAATATGTGTATATGGTATTTATTAAAAAATAAATACAAAAAACAGACTATGAGTACTGGTGTGGCACCATAGGATAAGCACTCAACTGCAAGGTCAGTTTGAACTACAAGGTCAACAGTTCAACTCACCTCGGATGCCTTATACATGGTCACTATGAGCTGGAACCAACACCACAGTACTTAACAATAACAACTATTATACCAATTACTTGCACATTAAAACTATGATTGCCAATATTTTTAATTAAAGTGAATTGTTTGCATACTTGAATGTACAGAGATGACCATCAACTAGTGAACTGGACAGATAAATTGAGAGATTGTTCCAGTATACAATACAAGAAGATCAGGGGATGGAAAACATGAAAAAAAATTTTTAAAGATGTGGAATAAAGACAATGCCTTATAGTAAGTGGTGACTCTCTTACCTCTCACTTCCTATTTCATAGGGACTAAACCACCAGCATAGATCAACTATGTCTAGGACAACTGCAGGAGACTGAATATTCTACAAAAGTTCTCCAAAGGTTTCCTTGTCTTTGGTGTTAGGGAATTGTCTGAGATTGCCTTGTCTCGAGAACTGGCTTCAGAGGTTGGAGTTCATGGGAGTCTTGCTTCAGTAGTTCATACAGAAACTGCCATTTCCAGTGATGCTAGGGAGCCTCTGCAGGCGGCACTGGGAAATGACTTCATGCTCAGCCCACAGGCTGGAGAAAGATTACCAGAAAGGCACATGCCCTTAGTGTAAGAGTCCAGGACAGCCAGCTTCTCAGACAGAATATATTTATTGTATCATCCTCTGTTGTTGTTATGTGCCGTGGAGTCCGTTCCGATTCATAGTGACCCTGTACAGGGTTTTTGAGGCTGTAAATCTTTACGGGAGCAGAAAGCCTCATCTTTCTCCTGTGGAACAGCTGGTAGTTTCAAACTGCTGACCATGAGATTAGCAGCCCGATTCATAACCACTATGTTACCAGAGCTCCTTGTATCATCCTCTAAGGGGTCTGAAAAGGCATACCTATTGTTGGCTGGAAACTTAAAGTCACTTGAGGAATTCAATAACTTAAGGGAGGAAGACCAAGCAGGCAAACCGACTGGTGGCTACTATATTGAAGCAAGCCTGAAAGGGGAAAGAGAGAGCTCTTTAATCTATAAATGATACAATATCATACAACAATGAAAATAAAGAAATTATAGCTGCATACAACAATATGAATGAATCTTAGAAACATACTATTGAATGAATAGCATATGTGTCCTATGGGGACAAAGCCTTGGTGGCACAGTGGCTAAGCACTGAGTTGCTCATGGAAAGGTTGGAAGTTCAAACCTACCAGCTTTTCTGTGGGAGAAAGATGTGGTAGTCTGCTTTTGCAAGAATTTAAAACCTTGGAAACCCTATGGGGCTGTTCTAATGTCCTACAGTCTTATGGGAGTTCTGGTGTGGCACTGAAGGATAAGAACTGGACCACAAAGTTGGTTTGAACTTCAAGGTTGGTGATTCAAACTCAACAGTCACTCATAGGGTCACTATGAGTTGGACGAAGGGGCAGTTGTCCAAACAGAACATGGGAGCACTGAATGGTTTAAAATTAAGAAAGGTTTGCAACAGAGTTGTAGTCTTTCAGCATACTTATTTAACCTGTATGCTGAGCAAATAATTGGAGAAGCTGGGTTCTATGAAGAAAAACGTGGCATCAGGATTGGAGGAAGACTCATTAACAACCTGTGATATGCAGATGATGCAACCTTGCTTGCTGAAAGTGAAAAAGACTTAAAACATTTACTGATGAAGACAAAGTAAAAAATTTACTGAATCCAGCCTTCAGTATGGATTACATCTCAATGTAAAGAAAACAAAAATCCTCACCACTGGACCAATAAACAACATTCTTATCAATGGAGAAGAGATTGAAGTTGTCAAGGACTTCATTCTTCTTGGATCAACTATCAATACTCATGGAAGCAGCAGTCAAGAAATCAAACGACATATTGCATTGGTCAAAAGTGCTGCACAAGACCTTTTTTAAGTATTGAAGAGCAAAGATGTCAGCTTGAGGACTAAGGTGCACCTGACCCAAGCCATGGTATTTTCAATAACCTCATATGCATGTGAAAGCTGGACAGTGACTAAGGAAGACTGTAGAAGAATTGATGCTTTTGAGTTACAGTGTTAGAGGATAATACTGAAAGTGCCATGGGCTGCCAAAAGAACCAATAGATCCGTTTTTGGAAGAAGTGCAGCCAGAGTGCTCCTTGGAGACCAAGATGGCTAAAGTTCATCTCTCATACTTTAGACATATTGTCAGGGAGGGACCAATCGCTGGAGAAGGATATCATGTTTGGTAAGGAGGGTCAGAGAAAAAGAGGAAGACCCTCAACGAGATGGATTGGCCAAGTGGCAGCATCGATGGACTCAAGCATGGCAACAGTAGTGAAGTTGGCCCAGGATCAGGCAGTGTTTCATTCTGCTGTTCACAGGGTCACTATGAGTCAGTATCAACTCAATGGCACCTAACAACAACAACAACGAGTTGGAACTGACTTGAGGGAACTTAACAACAACAACAATAAAAATATAGTCTTATGAGTTAGAATCGACTCCACAGCAATGAGGGGAAATCACCTTGCTGTAATGACAGCCTCAGCTGCAGTATGAGGCAAGCTACCAGAGGTTACAGAACAGATATGCTCACAGGTCAGACTGATTGCAAATTGCTAGAATTGCAACTTGTTAAATCAATCTAAGGCACATAAAGAGTAGTAAATAAGAAAAATGGGTATATTAACACCCATTTAGGATAGGGTTCAAGTAGGTGGAAAGCAGGTTTACAATCACTGATGTCAGTGTGCACAATATTCACAGTATTCACATAGCCTTCCCACTGATGAGTGGCTATAAGAACCAGAGTTAAAACTTGAGTAAGAGTGTACAGATCAGATGGAAGGCACTCTGCGTGGAAATGAGTATGACTGTCCACAGCTTAATTTGCTGTACAGTCATGGTTTCTTGAGCACACAGGGTAATTTCCATAGTGGATGGACAAATTGAGCCCTCTAAAATACTGTCAGCAGTGTTGTGCTGATAAGCCAGTTGTCCGGAGGGGGAAGGGTGGTGGTAGTTTGTGGTGGTTGTGTGCTGTGGAGTGGTTCTGATTTATAGAGACACTGTATAGGTTTTCTGAGACTACAGGAACAGAAAACCTCATCTTTCTCCTGAGGAGTAGCAGGCAGATTCGAACTGCTGACCTTTTGGTTAGCAGCCCAACTCTTAGCCCTCTATGCTACCAGCAGTCCTAGGGGCGGGGGGAAGGAGAAGTAATTTGTAGCATTCACCATTTCCTGTGGTCTAAATATTCTCACCATGATCAACTTCAAGATACCA